AAAATTGTGTCAGACTAAAGTTGGTGCATTTCAGTTTAGAGAGACCCCCCTTTCTCCTTATGGTCCTCCCTCTCCTTGGTGAGAAATGTCAGGGGGTATGTAGTGACTTCCATACGGAGTTTAGGCACAGTGGACCAGTTGTGTTTCCAAGAAATTGTTTTAAAATATTGCTCGTGTATCTTTTGAGCTTTTCTTATATGAAGAAGTTCTGGCTGGGGTACAAAAGGAAGCTTGGCTTGCTATTCTCTACCATGAATGTAATTTAATTTGGGGGACATTTTGACTCTAGAAATAGCTGCAGCTGATGTGGGGAGGAACATGGGGAGAAATGGACAAGAAAAAAAAAGTAATGTGACTTAATTTCAATCCAGTTACGGTCAACACATGTTGGTCTAAGAAAACTAAAATATGAGAGAAGATACCTAGTTCACGTAGTTGCCCTAAACCTGTCATGGAGCTGAAGACTTACTTAATATAATAAAAGTTGCTTTGGTATTTTCATGGATTTGGAAACACAAGTCTCATACGTCCAAGTCCATGCCATTTTGCTTATTGCGTCAGGGATCCATTCTGTTTGTTTGTTACCATTGCAACCAGAGGATTTTCATGCCTCCATTTCTAGACTAGATGCCGAGCTTGTAGGTGCTGCTTTCTCTCATCTTCTGAACCGTCACGTTCTCTCTGTGCTGGAATCAGGAAACCCAGCAGAGTTTGCTACTGATTTGAGCTGAGGCACCAACATCAGGACTGCAGGACCCTGAAGCTGGGGGAATATATATATATATATATATTTTTTTTTTTTAATTGTGGTAAAGTACAGTAGGAAGAGCATTGGATTAGAGGCCAAAAGACCCAGGTTCTGACTCCAGTCATTTCTTAACCGTGTGTGTTTAGACAAATCACATAACCTTTCTGGGCCTCTGTTTACTCATCTGTGAAATGAGGAGACCGAACAGGTGATGAAGTGATCGAGAAAGTCCCTCCCAGCTCCATTATTCCACAAGTCTGTGAGAGGAATTAGACAAGCAGCAATTATGAGCATCACTTTTGGTGTATAAGCCCATATGAATAACTTCAGATAACTTTTTTCTCAAGGTTGTACAGATATGGTATTTTTATAATATAAACCATATCATATGTTTTAGGGTTTTTTTTTTTAGGAATATGTCATCAAATCTGAGAATCTATAAAACAGCTGCATTAGTTCAACATTGATATATTTTACTTGGGGCACTACCACTTATTCATTCACTGCTTCATCCATGTATTTATCAGGCAAATGGTTCTGGAGCTCCTGCCATATACGTGATATTCTGGTTCCTGAGCACTGTTCTAATCTCCTAGCGTTAGCTTATACCCTGAGCCTTTTTTTTTTTTTTAAAGTACAAGAAACCTCTTGAATAATTTAATGGAATCAGCCTTTTTGATAGAAAATAATACTACCATTGGGGAGAAAAGGAACACTATGACAGTGTGCAGCACGTGAGATGAAGTGATATCAAACATATGGGGCTAAGGTTTTCCCTCCGTCTCTTCTCTTACCTCTGTTTCCTCTCCAAGGTGCCATTTTCTGAAAAGACTCAGCTGCCAGGGAAATGGCAATGGGTAAAGTGTGGAGGAAGACTGAGTCACTCTCTTTAATCCTTACTAACAGTTGCACAGCACTCAGACCAACCTTGGCTTCCCTGATCTCTTGAACTGTGAAGGGAAAGGGGAAATGATACCGTCAGGTCAGCCTGCTACTTTCCTAGCAGGGTAGAGGAAATTCCCAGTAGACGGCGTATTTCATCTATTAGAGATGAACTGAGGAAGAGGGAGGGATTGGATTAAGTCTGAATGCATAGAAACACAAAAACATAGTCAGAGTAAAATTAAACTGCCCAAGTAGGAGAAAATTCCCTATTCCCTATTCCCCGAGAGATTTTGTATTGCTTTCTGTCAAATGGGAAATAAATTGACACATATCCTTTAGAAATCAGCAACTTTACATCATCAAAATAATTCTTAGTTGTTCTTTCCAAAGGACAAGAAGACCTTACTTTTAGCACCTAACCCCTTTAGGAGTTGTCCTTTCTCTGAATCTTATTCTCCTGTTGCCAGTTGCTTGACTGTACTTCTAACTAGGCCATCTTCAAATACTTGGCTCAAAATAGAGGCCAGATTTCTCTCCTGGAGGGAGGAGGAAAATGACTACATTTCTGCATATTTCTTCTTCTGATTTTCATTCTTTCTCCAGAAACAGATGTGTTATTCAGACCGAAGTGGTTACCATAGCATCTCCCTATTTTTTTTATTTCATGTATTACTTTATTTCATGTATTACTTTATTAAAGGAAGTTTTCATGTTGCAAAGAACATGAAAAAAGATCTCACTCACCCTGGGTAAACACGTTAGTGAGGTTTTGACACTTCAGCAAACACTGTCGTTTCTCCCTGTGAAGTAACTAATGAGAAATTGTCTGCTTTGGTTAACAGAGCGACAGGAAGCAGTTTTAATACCTGTTTCTAAAAGCAAAAAGTATCTTCTCCCACCCCTTCCCAAAGGGCTGAAATCCCTAATCCTATAAGCATCCAAAGTCATAGCATTTTAGAACTTGAAGGGATATTAGGAACCACCCAGTGAAGTTCTTTTAAGGGGGCTAGGAAAGACGGAGGGATGCAGCTAGTGACAGAGCAGGACCAGACCCGGGTCCTCAAAAGTGCTGCAGTGCAAGGCTGTCCTGCCCCAGGAGGTCACCCAGAGCAGTGCGTGTCCTGTGTGCTCCCCAGGGGGCTTTGGATAGGGAGGAGCTGGTCATTGGAAGCTGGTGGAAGAAAAATCCTTGAGGAGGGCAGTCATTCTCTCTTCAGGGTGTGTTTTCTTGAGAAAAGAACTGTGGTGACTACATCAGGACAGCTGACTATCACATAGCACTTCATGGCATCTCACAGAGGACAAAGGCTTCTGCAGCCGCAGAATGTGGGCTCCAGCTCAGTTTTCCTCGCCGCCACCCCCACAGCTCTATTCTCTCTCCTCCTTTCTGCTTCTCGTACTGTGGCTTCCTACCCTCCGCTTTCCTCCTCCTGGAAGAGGTGTTAGCCACTTTAGTCTCATTTAGATTGAGATCAGAGCCATTGTCATCATCAGATATTCCATTTGCCCTACTTACCTGCCCCTTTTTTTGCAGGGGTTGGGGGGATATATGTGCTTGGAGTAAGAGTAAGCGATGGTATACATGGGACATTGTATGGAGGTAGCCGCAGACACATTTAAGTGACCTGAAGAAATTTAAAGAAAACCCGAATAAGTCGCATTACCCCCTCATGATGACCATAACTTCGGCGCTGTGTTCGTTTTCTAATGTTCAAATCATTTCCCCCCATCTTCAAAAAAACCTTTCAATGGCTCCTCATTGGAATAAAACCCAAACCTCCCAGGCGTT